TTTGCTTGTGAAATGACTTTAGATAGTTTTTTAAATATGACATAGCTAATTCGTAAAAGACTTTACTTCAAATGTAAATAGAAATTGCTTTTTAAAATAAATTTCTCTCTAGCTTGTTCGCCAATGAGTGGTTATGGTCAATACAAATCTTTATTTAAATTTGTATGACAAATTTTTTGAGCTTTGCAATGTATTTCAAAAATTTTAGGAGTGTCTAAAGCTATTTCACCTTTTTAGACAAAACCATTTTTTAATATCTCTAAACTTATTTTAGCTCTTTAAATATCAAAGTGACGGTATAGTGTCTCCAAGATTGACACCTATGCTTAGTAGCAAACTCTACTACTCTCTATTCCGCGTTTATAGTGTGAAGCCTTTTGACTGCTTCGTCTGGCAAAAACTCAATTAGCACACAGGGTGATTTATATGTCCAAACGTAGACAAAAATTGAGCTACAACTTTTACTAGACTAGTTGTATAATTTTGCCTATATAAAAAATATTCACTATGTGAAAATTATCTCCTGTGAGGAGGTACGTACACCCATGGATTATGTCTTACAAAGGGTGGTTTACGCCTTGCAACGCCTAAACTGATGAATATTTCCCTTAACAATTTAGTGTTGCTCAACTAGTCTGAAAAGTGGATTTTCACGCCTATTCACTTGTATATTTGCTCTTTGTCTATATCTCACTTTACGGGATATAGGGCATGTTTCACGCAATTTCCCTTGATTCCTCCTTATGTGGCTAAATGTTATATGAGTGCTCTCAAAATTTATAAAAGAGTGATACTTTTCACATTAAGTAGTGTTTGCAAGCTCTCTATATATAATAAATGAGCCTTGATTAGTTCACCTATATGTACTAGGTGTAAAGTAGTTTAAACGGTTAAAGCGGTTCATGATAATAGTTTCTGAATTTTCAACTTATAAGTTTTATTTAAGTCTCATAAACTCTTGCAATATGCATAGGAAATTTAAACTCAGGACAAGTCTACTCTCAAACCATGTCTGAGTAATAGTTTAAGCTAAAGGACTTTAGATCAAAGCTTTAAGACAACACAATGTTCTAATTGTGATTTTGCCTCTATTGAAGCCTCGTAAAATTTGGGTGAATAATTCCCCAATTTGTTCTTCACTAAGACTGACTTTAACTCTCTTTAAGTTGGAGTTGAAGACAAAAGTTATAGGTGCCTAACTTTTTTACTTGTGTATGCATAGAAAAATTGTGATGCGCTACTGGAAAATGTGTCCTTTAAAAACCCAAGTGAAAACTTACTAAGAAGGAAAAAATTCTATAGTAATTGATTGTATTTTCCACATCAAACAAACTCCATTTTTTCTTCTTTTGGATTTTCTTAAAAAATTGCTAGTGAAAGAATTTAAACTTGAGTTTTTTGGCAATGTATATTGTATTTAATTTTAAACTCACCCCATGCTCTATGGCTTTAGTGATATTTGAAAAAATATCTTTTTTGTGGTATCTAAGCACTAAACCACAGCAATCACAAGAAGAGACTTTTCGTTCAATGTTGTTTAGGCTCAGGGCCTCTAAACTCACTAAAGTGATCTACTTGTGAATCCTAATGCTAGACATGTTTGGAATTCACAAGTAATTTTCTCCTGGTTATTTTTCAAGCCAAAAAGTGATGGCTTATCCCACTGTGATCGCCAAAAGTGAATAAGGTTTTTTTTGTCTATACTCATGTTCTTGCCCCTGCCTGTGAAATAGTGATAAAAAAACAAACACGAGAACATAGAAGAAGAAGAGGAAAGAAGAGAAAAAGATAGAAAATAATAGAACTCAATCTCAAACCCTAAAGGCGTGAGTAAAAATAAATATATATCACTTTTTTTACTTTATATTGCACAAACAATTATAAATATGAGAAAATATAGTTCATTCAATGCAAATGCATACAATAGTGAGTGGGGGTTGTTTTTCAGCATGTCTAAATGTTATTTATATATTATATGATTTTATAACCACTCATAACCACATCACACTTGTTTATAATGAGTATTGCATAAGTCAAGTCTTTTTTTTTTTGGATGCCTAAATTTAAGTGTAACTCCATTTCACTTAAGTTTTCTTTTTCTACTCTACTTGGGAAAATATATAAAATAAAACATTTACCTCTTCATCAAACACTATCAAAGTCTAAATTGATAATTCTAAGAAGAATACCATGTTATCTTCCATGGTATTTCCAAAATATATCTTCCATGGTATTTCCAAATTCACTTTGCTTAAGATTAAGCAAAGATTATTAAACTGCTAAAACACTGTCTGGTGAATTTAACATGATGAAAGTGTGCCTGGATCTAATCACATATCAAGCAGATGCTCTGCACAGAAAATCATGAAATAAATCAGACATAATAATTACTTCTCTAAACCACTAAGAGATGACTACGTTTGGGTGTCTAAAGCAATACTCACTCTTTGTTTCTTCCCTCCACTCAATCCACGTGAGAACCACTATCTCCAAGCCCCATCTCACTCTCAACCATCTCCATCTTTTGGCTGTGTGGTAGGCTGCCTCAAATAAGCAGAGTAAGTGATTGTCTCCAGAACAGTGAGCTTCCCAGCAAAACATTATCTTGATTTACATAAGCATCTGATAGAAAGCTTGAGAATCACTAAATCAAATGTTTATACACACCGCAGTCCCATGCCTCGTGTTTGTCTGGAGATTCCCATTGGATCCTTCTCGCCTCACAATCTACCTGTGATGAACGACAATGCAAGAATCTTAGTCTCAAACACATGATCAATCTTTAGAAAACTCTATCAACAGGCGCGTCAAGCAAGGTTTGAATTTCCCGATCCTGGTCCCATGATCTCAAGATTTAAAAGTCGACAAAACTAGCAGGAGGCCATTTCTTTTCAAACTTTCTATCCCATCCAGTCTTGCGTGGCTATGGCTTCTCAAGGTACGTCGTCTCCAAAGATCCATGTCCTCGCATTTCCCGTACCAGGCCAGGGACACATCACTCCGATGATGCATCTCTGCAAGAAGATCGCCGCTCGAGATGGATTCACCGTCTCGTTCGTCAATGTCGACAGCCTCCACGACGAGATGATCAAGCACTGGAGAGCTCCATCCAATACGGACCTCCGCCTCGTCTCAATCCCACTCTCCTGGAAAATCCCACACGGCCTGGATGCTTACACTCTCACTCACTCGGGTGAGTTCTTCAAGACCACCATCGAGATGATCCCATCTCTCGAGCACCTCGTCTCCAAACTCTCTCTCGAGATCTCGCCGGTCCGCTGCATCATCTCGGACTACTTCTTCTTCTGGACCCAGGACGTTGCTGATAAGTTTGGGATTCCAAGGATTGTTCTGTGGCCTGGATCCGCTGCCTGGACCACGATTGAGTATCACATACCCGAGCTCATCGCCGGAGGCCATGTCTTTCCCAGCTTGACCGAAGGTAACTCCACTTTCAATGGCATTCATGTTCGCCTCAAAACTTTGCAGCGAAGAAGCTTGTCGCGGATGAATCTATAGTGGACATTATCAAGGGACTGGGACCTCTTCATCAAGCCGACGTACCTCTCTACTTGCAAGCTGACGATCATCTCTGGGCGGAGTACTCCGTGCAGCGGGTCCCCTACATCCGCAAGGCCTCCTGCGTGCTCGTCAACTCCTTTTACGATCTGGAGCCGGAAGCTTCCGACTTCATGGCCGCCGAGCTCCGCAAAGGTGGCACGGAGTATCTCTCCGTCGGTCCCATGTTTCTCCTGGACGAGCAGACCTCCGAGATCGGACCAACCAACGTGGTGCTCAGGAACGAGGACGCCGAGTGCCTGCGGTGGCTCGACAAGCAGGAAAAGGCTTCCGTTCTCTACATATCTTTCGGCAGCATCGCGGTCGTGACTGTCGAACAGTTTGAGGAGCTTGCGGTGGGACTGGAAGCAATCGGAAAGCCTTTCTTGTGGGTGTTACGGCCAGAACTTCTCATTGGAAATCCGGTAGAGAAGTATAAGGAATTCTGCGAACGTACCTCCAAGCAGGGATTTACTGTGTCCTGGGCACCGCAGCTACGAGTTCTGAAACACCCCTCCATCGCTGCGCACCTCAGTCACTGCGGCTGGAACTCGGTGCTGGAAAGTATCAGCAATGGAGTGCCTCTCCTGTGTTGGCCTTGGGGAGCTGAGCAAAACACCAACGCAAAGCTGGTTATACACGACTGGAAGATTGGAGCTGGATTTGAAAGAGGGGCGAATGGATTGATCGGCAGAGGCGACATCGAAAAGACGCTGCGGGAGGTGATGGATGGGGAAAGAGGGAAGCAGATGAAAGACACTGTTGAGGTGCTGAAGTGCAAGGCAAGGAAAGCTGTTGAGAGTGGTGGTCGATCCGCTGCGAGCTTGGATGGATTTCTTAAAGGCCTCAGCAGCCAGTGATGCGATTATAAGTTATCACTGCAAGTGCTAGCGTGAGATGGCAAATATGTGAAAAACTTACGTGCCACGAATCTGTCAAGCTTGACAAAACATGAACATTTTCAGATTTAGAAACAACATGTTTGGAAGAATTTGATGTAATTTGTGAAGAGCAGGATTCTTAGTGAAGGCTGAAAAGGAGCAGCAGGAATAGTGCCACTGGTTATGACGATTACACTGCCTCTGACCCCTGCTTGTTCTATATAGAAAACTTCCTCATCAAGCACGTCATGCCGTCCTATGGTGAGTAAAGCCAGGAATTCTCTTCTGCATGTCCTGGAATTCTGTTTCAGGGAACACGCATGCCGAGGACAGCTACGTCCACCCGGATGGTGAAACTGGCCACGAGTTATGTCAAGGAGTCCCTTGGAGGAACCGAGATGGTGCTCTCTTCTTTTGCAACTCTGGAACCACTGGAGCTGTGAAAAAGCTTCACGAACCTTTGGGCTTGTCCAGCCATCGCAGCAATCGATGGCAGGAAGAGATGATGGTGGAATTATCTTAAGGAGTCTTATGTTGCAAACAAAAAACTGTTAGTGTCCATTAGAGTTTAAGGAGATGGCTGGCGTTCATAATGAGCATCACTCCAACATTCTTCCCCAAGGTTTCTTTCAATCTGTCAACTGCATAAACCAATAGGTTATTCTGACTCATGATGGATTGATTGACATGAAGTACCTGCTGCAAAATCCCAAGCACGCACATCATCCAAAGCTAACAGGAGTTTTAGGACACTAGCCATCGCTCGCCTTCTACACAAACACGGAGCATTAGCATGCTTTGATTTCGCAAGCTGGTTTGTTTAGTGTTGATTTTCTATTTTTCTTTCGCTGGAAAGGGAACTGACCTCTTTGTTGTTACCACTCCTCCACCTGTTCTCGACGGTGCGTGATCCTTGAGCTTGTAGAGCTTTTTGTTTATGCAAAGCAGGCCCGGCGTTCTGGGCCCTCCGACATACTTGTGTGAACTCAACACCACAGCATCGTATCCATCAGTCGCATGTCGATCTTAATGGATCCCTGTTGATCAAGTTCAACAAGTAAGCTTCTTTTCGTTCTGATCTCGTCTTCATACCAGCACTCTACCTCGAGGACCTCAAAAGTCGAGAAGACGCTGGAACAACACCTTCCATACTCCAGCGGATAAAACCCGGGATGGTCTCCACTGTCCAAGAAGAAATGGGATACCGTCTCATCGAGTCTAGAGAGCACAGCTTAATCACCACCGCGTTGAAAAGGTCGGAAAACAAAAAGATAGTGCTCGAGAGCACGCAAGTGAAACGAGCAGCGATCGTCTCGTTCCTCGTCCGGACCACTGATTCCAAAGATGAACTCCAGCTGCAAGCCCGGTTTGTAGCAAAGCTCCTCAACAATTTGTTTGGGAGGAGGTTGGTCATGTGCCGGTCCCTACAGCTACTCGCTTCTCAAAGTCAGTGATGATCTCTCCCTGAAATTTCGAGCAGCGAACCAAGAAGTGAGAACTAAAACAAGCTTTCTAAAGAGCTTTTCTAACGAGGAAAGAACTTCTTTGTCTCACAGGAATATAGCGGTGTCAAACCTGGATGGACGCGCTTGAACTTCGCATACTTCCTCTCCAAGAAAGAGTTCCATTTCTTGCTGTGCACCATAGAATAGAATTCGTGGCGGACTATGGCCAGCGCTTTCTCCCCCTCTATGAATCCAACCGGACACGGGAATGGGCCAAAATCCCACTTCTCCAGCAGTACAAGGAATACCTGGGCACCGCCATCGCAAAGCAGCTAGCACACAATCCAGGCCAGGCGAGGCTCTATATTCGTTTCGCAACCACCGTCTCTTCTCAATCCTACTCTCCTGAAAGATCCTTGGGTGAGTTTTACAAGACCACCACCGGGATGATCTGGAAATGGCTGTACCTTTTGGTAGCTTCAATTTTAAAAAATGAAGGACTGAATTTTATAATAAAAAGCATATTACCAAAAAGTCGCGCCAGAAGCTTATTGAGTCCGCTGTGAACAGTCCCAAAGCTCTCCAGCAGTATATGCCCCTCATAGTCAACAACATGAAAGCGTGCCTTGAGAGGTGGTCCGCTCAGGATACGATCGTTCTTCTTACCAAGATGAGAAGGGTAAACGATGTTTACTTCCTCCCGTTTCCTAGTTGACACGTTTTCTTCGATATGACAGTTCACGTTTCTAACTATCGACCACATTTTATATGCCAGCCCCGATGTGAATGATACTTTCCTCCTTGTACTACATTCTCAACCAAGGCATTCGTGCTCTCCACATCAACTTCCCCGGCACTGCCTACAACAAAGCCTTGAAGGTAAAAAGCCATAAGCGTTGTCCTACACAGCTTTGTGATGTTTTCCCATTCTCAGGCGCAGCGAAAGCTCATCAAGCTTATCCAGGACATGATCAACCAGTGAAGAGCTTCGGGGACGCTGCAAGGAACAAACATTCTTTCATTGCTCATGGATCAGCTGGATGACAGGGGAGAGACGCTCAAATCATCGACGTACTCATGTACGTGAACGCTGCATGTCCACACCACAACCGAATCAGTCAATGAAGTGCTACCAGTTGGGCCAGATTTAACAATGGGGGGATTTGCTGTCATGCAAAGGAAGATTACTTGGAAAGCTTGAAAGTTTCAAGAGAGCAACTACTTGGGGGTAAGCCTTTGTCAAATGACACCTGCCCTTGCTATTATAGAATACGCACCACTTGAAATGTACGAGGAAGAGAATTTTGCCAAACGCTTTGCCTGAACACGTAGCTCCATCTCTGCATCCTGCAAATAGCAGGCAGTCCTCACGTCCACAAAACTTCCGTAGACAATATCGTGTACAGCCGCCACTCAGACGACAAGCCATCCGAGCACGTAGTGGATTCCAGCTTGCTGGAGCTAGCTGGCTCCCTCAGATAGGCGTTGCAGATCATGGGAGATGGGTCGACGGGCCTCTTTGGGCCTTCCGGCAGAGATCCAGACAGTTCTCGAGCGGCTGGCCGGAGAGGAGATTGAAAAAACAACGTTCTGGTGCTTACTGTCTGATATGCACAACAAAATAACAAAGGGACAGCTGAATAAGAAGTGCCCTCATCTTGCAAAATTTATGTGGAAGGACTCATTCCAGACCGGGCTCTTTGGCGAGATTTCAATCATGAATCAGAGTTCTACTAAAAAAAGTACAAGGCAAGACAAGTGGAACTCTCAAGCACATAAAGCCTGATGTTACTTATAGTTCATCTAGTTTCCATCCAATTATGAAAGTGATAAACAGCCTGTCCTATTCACACTTTTTTTGCTCATAAATAATCTAAAATTCCATGTGCATATTAAAGACAAAACATATTCTATTGTTAAAACAAAAGCTCATGCTTCTTGACGAGACCTTGTAAACAGTTGAATGAAGTTGTACCACTCTCAGAAGCCAAAGTCCTAGAGCTAGCACAATCTGCAAAAACTTCTTTGCCTCTCACCTTCATTGCCAAACATAGTAGACAACCTTTCTTTTCAAACTATCACAGGGGTTTAATTTTGAAGGCCCGATTTACCACAAACCCTAAAATACTATAACCCAAAATGCATCAATTCAAACAAAAGTTTGAGCGGGAAAAAGTCAAGACCTCCTGGGGCATGGGATTGCCTGGAGAGGGACGAGCTTTGGCATGGCGAGCCCAAATTTCTCCCTCATATCGATCTCTCCCACTTTCTCCCAATCGAATCCTTGCAGCAGCCTCGCCAGCACGCACTGCACCATCCGGAGTCCCATCCCCATCCCTGGGCAGATCCTCCGCCCGGATCCAAACGGGATGAGCTCGAAATTCTGGCCCCTCACATCCACACCCTTCTTCGCGCCCTCCTCGAATCGCTCCGGCCAGAAATCCAGCGCCCTCTCCCACGAATTGGCATCCCTGGAGATCGCGTAGACATTGACGAGCAGCCGAGCGCCCTGTGCGATCCGGTAACCGGCGCTCGACACACAGGGCATGGTGGATTCGTAGAGGATCACTGGCGATGGCGGATGCAATCGCAGCGTCTCCTTGACGATGGCGTGCAGGAAATTCAGCCCCGGGAGATCGCTCTCCTCCACAACCCTGTCGCGCCCCACCACGGCGTCGATCTCGCGCTGCGCCCGGCGCATTGCGGCGGGGTGCCGGAGGAGCTCCGCCATCGCCCATTCGCAGGTGACCCACGCGGTGTCGCTCCCGGCCCCGATCACATCCTGCGTGCCACGAAGGGAGCGAGGAATGAGCGTGGCAAAGAGCTAAGAACCCTAAAATCCCCGAGAATTAGGGTTCTTGAGAAATACCTGGATGACGGCTTTAATGGTATCGTCGGTCAGCGCATTCTTCTCCTGCGATGCGAGGAGAACGTCCAGGAGATCCTCCACGCCGCCGGCGCCGGCGCCGCCACGCCATTGATACTGCCGCTTCCTGTCGATCAGCGACTGAAAGAACGCATCCTGGAGCGCGTGGAGCTTCCGGGCCCGGCGGCCATAGCCCTGGAGATCCATCCACCGCAAAGAGGGCAAGTAATCGCCCACATTGAGCGCGCCGATCATCTCCACCGCGTGCTCGATCGTCTCCTTGACACGCCGCTCGAACCGCGAGAGCTGCTTCTTCTTCCCGCCGAATTCCTGGCTGGTGGCCATGCGCAGGATGCTGTAGAGCGTGATGTCGGACAGAACCGCGCGGAGATCCACGACGCTGGACGCTCTCGCCGCCTCCTCCACCGTCGCAAGCGCCGAGGAGATCTCCTCCTTGCGCACGCGCTCGAAGGAATCCACTCTCTTGCCACTGAAGAGCTCGAGGCTACAAACCTTGCGGAGATGGCGCCAGTGATCGCCGTAAGGCGCCCACATGATATCCGCGAAGTTGTACGTGAGCTCGCGCGCCACTGCGTACCTGGGCCGCGATGCAAACACGAGATCGTGAGTGTGGAGGAATTCCCTCGCCGCCTCGGCGCTCGAGGCCACGAAAGTTGGAACGCAGCCCAGGCGCAAGAACATGAGAGGGCCGTGGCGCTTGGAGAGATCCAAGAGCGCTTGGTGTGGAGGGCGCCCCAGGAGCTGGTGGAGGTTTCCAATCACTGGCAGTGGACGCGGGCCGGGCGGCGTGTGATCTTGCTGGTGGCGATCATCACGGAAGAAGAGCTTTCCCAGAGTTTTCTTCCAGATCGCGACGAGGAGACTCCAGAGAAGGGAGAGCGCTGCGGTGGAGGAGGCTTGCGCGGCCATGCAAATGGATTGAAAGCTCGGAGGAAAGAAGAAGATAGCCTCGATCGAACAGGGGAGAGAGCGCGATACCAGGATGGCGATCAAACTTACTGAAACATTTGACAGCCCTCTCTGAATGGATTGAAAGCTCAGAAGATATCGATTCACAGGGGATAGAGCGCGCCCAAATTTTTACCAGGATCAAATCAAGCACAGGGAAAAAGATCAAACTTACTAGAGAAACGTTTTGACAGCCCTCTCTCAAGCCCTCTCTCAGCTCTTCCTGGAAGAGCTCTAGAACGTTTGAGAGCTCTCAAACCTTATCAAGTACTCCAAGACCTGACACGCTTGAAAGGAATGGACGACAGATCTAGCATCGCATGTCAAAGAAACAAAAGAAGAGCGTCAGAACAATGTGTGTCACTGTGTGTGTATTTAACCACAGGGAAGCTTTAAAGAGCCCCCTTGCCAGGCGCCATAGAGTTTGCGCTTCACAGAGGGAACCGATTCGATTCTCTTGAATCTCCGGGGATTCTTCTTGGTTTTTCCAGTTTGCTCACGCGCTTAAATGCTTGGCCCATCCTTTGACGACTACCTCCGCAGGAGCCATCGTTTTCTGGAAGCTTTCTCGCTTGAAGAGAGCCTGCAACGAGTAAAAGAGAGACACGACTGTGAGTGACGATAATTACACTGGGAAAAAGGAATATTTTTTCTTCTGTGCGTTTTACCTCCATGTAAGAGTTGAGATTCGTGAGATTTTGTGGCACTGACCACTGCTTGTAATGGCCCAGCGCGATTTTAAGGTGGTAGAGCTTGGGGGCGAGGCTGAGATCCACAGCGGAGATGTTTGATCCATTCACGAATGGTCCCTGCCACCAACAAAAAAGCCAGGACTTTTTGTTCCTGGAGAACGAGAGGAATAGCAAAAGAACTTACATTCTTGGCGAGATACTCATCCAGCGTCTTTAGCTCTTCCAGGAGAGCAGCCTCGGAGCCATCGCTCGGATCCTTGCTCTTGAGGAATTTCACGAAGGACGAGAAGATCTTCGAGCCACTGAAAGTTTGAGCAAGCAAATCAAAGGCCATCTCGACAACAAGGAAGAAAGAAAAAGACGAGGAAACTTACACGCTTGACTTTTCAGGTGGTGTAACCAGAGAAGGTGACGGGAACTTTGTCTCGATGAGCTGCGTGATAACGTCCGAATCCGCGACCCATTTTCCATCGTCCTTGACCACTGGAACTTTACCTTCTGGATTTGCTTCCAAAAACCTGGAAAATTCACCATGTCCCAACAAGGAAAATAAAAGAAACAAATAGAAAACCATGCGGGCTTGTTCTCCATATCCACGAATTTGGAGTTATAAGGAATCCCTTTCTCCTCCAGAGTGAGTAGCACTCGCTGAGAAAATGGACCTGGATTGACAAAAGAAAAAAGAGATGAAAAAAAGCAATGTAAGATAGATGATATACTCACAATCGCCAAGCCGGGATGGATCGCCATTCGCGGCTTTCACCAAAACCTCCACAGCCTCAGTGGTAGCCACAGCCATGGCGCAAAATCTAGCAGGATGCTGAGCTACGTGCGAAGAAAATGCCTGTGTGGATAGATGGGAAGAGCTGCGGCCGAGAGATTTATAGCAGCGGCAACCACTTCTTCTCAGATACCCTAGACGATCAAAAGTAGCTCCTTCCTTGAGCCCTAGGACCAGTAACTTTGATAAGGGTAGGGCTAAAGCCATACTTTCCTTTTCGCCCACACGAACTTTACTTTCATAAGGTATGCCTGAATGAATGCAGACCTTTTTCATTATAAGGTTTTTTATAATGACAGATTAAAGTACATTAATTTATGATGGCAGTTTTTGGGGTTGGCCACAACAAAACATTATACAAACATATGTGTATAGCAAATAATTTGTGATAGTAGTTTTAGGGGGAGGCATACCTTGGGTGGTGGTTTGGCAAACTTGCAAAATATATATTAAAAAAAGACAAGTGTGCTTTAAATTATATAATATATATTTGTGAAATAATATTTTATACACAGCTTTTTTTTTATGCATGAGCATGCATTGGTGCATGATATGTATGCATGCAAAATCCACTTTAGACATATGCAATTTTTTGTGTTGCATAAATTTCAACTCTATATCAATAAAGTTTGGACTTTGGGTTTAATGTTTTTCAATGCATGAGCTAAATTTTGAGTGTTTTATGGATGTCATAGGCTGAATTTGCCATTGCTGTGTATTTAAAACACTCTTTATGGTGAGTGTAAAGGAAAGCACTTTGTGAGTGAATTGGTTTTGGAACAAGTGAAATTTTGGCATAGGTGAGGATTAAATATAAAATAAAGAATCTTGCCTCCTTATTTGGAGTGGACTAGTGTACCTTGTATTAGTATCTCAAGATAATAGGTTGGGAAAGATTTTATCCCCTCAAGAGTGTTATTGCAATTAAAACACTTTTGGAAGTGCTTCTCCCCCACTACAAAAACTTGATAAGGTGGGGGATTATATATGTTAATAGCGATGTAATATATAGAGTGAGCCAAGAAGTGGTAAGAGCTACATTACGTCATGTTTGTCTGGAACAAATTTTACGAAGGAAATTGGAGTCAATTTTTCATGTGTGTTTCCATGTGGAGTCATCTATAGAGCTTTAATGTATTTAAAATAAGTTTCTCTTGCTATATTGAATTCATGGTTTTGTCGCAAACAACATATTACAAGCTAAAGTCTTGGGCTATCTATTATATAGAATCATTATTGCCAGTAAGTGTTTAAAAAGTGTCTAAATAATACTACACTAGTTTATATGTTTATCAGTGTAGAGAGTTATTATATTGTAAACTCTGAAATTTAAACTTCCCAAGAGGTCACCTAACATAGTACTATTCAAACCCAAAAATATTTAACCCCAAGTATCCCAAAACCTTTAATCAATTGATAAAGGTGGTGCACTCTTATTTCTTTCTCTTTATTTTTAAATCCTATGGATAATTTCTCAAATCATTCTATTTGGTTGTTTACATATATCACAAGTATATTTATGTTAAAGAACACTACCATAGGGTAATTTTACAATTTAGTTGACCAAAATGCATGCAAGGCAATTAGGCAAGAGTTCAATGGAATAAAGATGGATATAATGAATGTGTGGGAAGGCTATAATATAGTATTTTTGAATGGTTTCTCAATTCACAATTAGGTGAAAACTATGCCTTTTAATATAATATCCATGCCACTCTCACAAAGAGGCATGGATATTGCTTTACACATATTTCAACAAAATTATTTTAACCAAAAGACCAAAGGGCAAGGTGGTGACAAGGTTTTATTTTACAACTTTTAACACATGTTCAATGTAGTATAGTCACACTTTTGACAAATGACAATGTTTATAGTAGAGGTGGCTTAGTATTTCAAAATGATGATTCTGACTATAGAGTGTCATCACCTGATTAACATGAGGGATAACTGGCATGTTTATATCTTGCTTGAGGCCCTTTATGCCAAATTTACCCAACAGCTTCACAAACACATAAACATTTGAAATTTGTATATAGTGCACACTCTAAAAAACAAGGCATGGATATTGCCTTACATATGTTTTAGTAAGATTATTTTAACTGAAAGACCAAAGGGCAAGATAGTGATAAGGTTTTATTTTACAACTTCTAATACATATTCGTAGTATAGTTACACCTCTAACCTCAAAAGGCATTGTCAAACTAAACAATAACAAAAGTGTACCAAAATCGCTCCAGTCACTTGATGGTTTGTTTTTTTCCAAGAGTTAATAGGCCTCCACAATCACACATATGAAAGCAATGTGGAAGGCCTTGAGTTCAACCACCAAGTTATGATACACCTTTCACTCATGCTAAAAGTTGGACATTTCTTAGGCCATAATATATTATATAAAGAAAATAATATTAGTCTTTTGTATGTTATTATATTTATCAAAATTGCTATCACATAAACTTTATAACTTATAAAATGTTTTTGCAAAAATCCCCACCTAGACTCTACCGAACAATATTTACTCTATTCAATACTATGTTTTCCCCAAAACACTCTAACACTCATTGTATAAACCACTCAACACTCATCAAAGAGAGGCAATTGTTCTATTTTATATCTTAATTTGTGTGTAAATTACTCTATATCACGATATTGGTCCCCAACCTTTAAACTTGAGGAGCAAGTTGCCACCTTGAAAAGGTGTGGCTCCACATCTATTGGTCGCAATGATTGGCCATACTCATATTGAAAGACTTGGATAGTAATTTACTACCCAACACCAAGGAATTCCATCTCTGTTGCAAAGTGATAAAGCATGCTCAATTTCATGGTTGTCATTAACATATTGCAGCCTTAAAGAATGCCCTCACCTCCATAAGAACCTCCCAGATGCAATCACACAACCACTCCTAATTGGTAAAATGTCTATCTCTACCATCAAATGTCTCCAATAAATGTTTCAAATATATATTTGACAAGTTTGGGTTATTTCACATATCAAAATTTTGAGTCAAATACATTTGTAATATTTTATCAAAAGCATGAGAACCCATAAGAATAAAATTATTTATAGTCATGGGGACAATGAGATGATTCTATTGAGTTTTTGACCCCAAGGTCCTTTCTTCAAGAATAGAAGGGATAGAAGAGAAGAATCTAGGTCTCTGTCAAGCATGAGTGCAACAGTGTGGATCCTCCAATGGCATCTCCACAGCACACTCCCATAAAAAATCACATAGACAGAGGTGCTCTGTCCTAATCTTTGGCATGATTGTTAGCTAGAGCGTTTCTCCTTGAGCAGCTCATCTAGCTCACCACACTATCATCAACATGTCCTTGGAAAATCACCACCTTTCCCATAAAAAGTTTATCTACCACCTCCACTTGTACCTTGATTTTGTATTTGGTACTTGTTGGGGAGAGTCTAGAGCAGTAGAGCCATCCTTGGAGCCACCAGGAAGAGTGCTCCTCATCCATTGTCTTGATCTGCACCCAATAATCAAGATGTATAGTAAATTTAAAAAGTAAGATTATTAGAATTCATCTTAGCCTTTAATTATGCTATAAATTCTATTCCCAACAATCAAAAGTAATATTCTGGGAATATTTTAAGCACTCCCAGTATTCTAACCTGCTTTATAGTGCATGTTTTCCTAATAGAAGAAAGTATGCAAGTTGACAATGCAATCAGTACACAAAAAAATTTATGGTTTGCTGATAAACTTGCTGGATTGATTTTATTGGTGTTTTTCAAGACTGAAGGCCCAGTGTCACAAGTCCTAGTGGCATCCCATTTTCCCTTATGCAGCATGCATGTTTGTAGGCCCTAAGTCCTAATTAAGCTCCATAACTTGCTAGGCACCCATAAGGCTCATCTATGTTCCGCATAATTTAGAAAGCTAGAGTGAGCCAACAAGTTGACAATGCAGCAGATTTGAATATGGCAAATTTAAAATGGAGCAACTCCCATGCTTCTACCATCCAAGTAGCAGCAAGTTTTGTTATAAAGTTTTTGTTTATACCTTTACCACAAACAGTTGGATAATATATTATAAAGCAACATATCAGTGGATCTATATAATCCTGTGGTATGTGACATAAATTTATTATGAAATGCCTAATGTTTTGAACTTGATATAAATATTGTATTACTTATGAGTTTTGGAATGGTGAATATGTACAATGGTGACATCCTTGGACTAAGACCAAGCAGAAGTAGCATGTAAAATATTTAAAACACAATAGTAAAATAAAATATTATGGAGGATTTAGATATCTTAAATTCAAGATCAATCTCTAGAAAATCTGAGCACCACCAAGTTAGTCAAAATTACTAATTATTAACATTAAAGGATTCTAGTCATGATCTTGTTCACTATAATTGTCAAGAAGCTTATCACATAAAAAGTTTAACACACAAATCCAAAAGTGACAAATATATATCATTAATATTTGAGACTTAGGAATCAAAATTAAAATAAAAGTGTGTTCTTTGATTGGTCCAAAATTTAATTGTACTTTGAATTAATTATATTCAGTCACAAGAAACCCATGCAGTTCTTAACTAATTATAAACATTCACTATGTATAGAGCATTCTCATCACAGTAAAATAATATACATAGCATAAGTATGTATGATCATATTATTTAAAACCATTATGTATGTATGAAAAACATAGTATAAGATACCAACTTGAAGCATAAACTACCAATGCAAGATCAGCTACTCTTATGAAAATAATTTGATGTGCTATGCAGCAACATTTGGTTTTCTTTTGATTTTTATGAATTTATAATAAAAATAAAATTTTAATAAATATTTAAGAATAAAAATATAAAGAGAATATTAAAAAGAAATAATGTGTTGATTGAAAAACTTTAATAGTAACCACCACTTGATTCAACAACCTTGCATTTCCATTTCGGGATTTTCCATATAGCCAAAAAAGAAATCTGGCTCAAGAGACCATATTGCGCTTCTCCATTCTTTAAAATATCTTCTTGACTTCCACATTAGGAGCAATGCCTCTTGCATCATGTTAGTGATGATCAAGTGGGATAGCTCCTTGCCTAGGATAGTAAATTGAGTTTGCATCATGGAAATGGTGAAAAAATACAACACATAAACACTAACTCAAGCTTTAGGGAAGAATTCCATCGCTACCTATGAAGAACTCAAATAGCAGGGTGTGAGATTGAGCAAAAAGAGCATTTTTTACCAATGTTGACTATGGACCCTTGAGCCATTAAAATCACTTCCAATTGCACACTTATGATTGGCGCCATCATGCCATTACCTAGATGAAGAAACAAAGCATAAGCTTCAGAGGTAGAAGAAGAGTGAGCTTGCCAAGCTGGATCCTAATGCTAATGTCACTACCAAGGTCATTGGATTGCACATACCATTCTCTTTAGCCTTACCCACTCTTCTCCATGGTGCTGCCAATGACAATTAGAAAGCTACTCAAATTTAATTTAAAATAATGGTCTGTAAGGCAGAATATTAACATTTAAATTTGATTAAAAACTTAGAGAAAATTTTAACCTAGATTGAGGATTATTCTATATCTGAAGTCCAAACGGCTTAGTTCTTAATGTTTTATGATACATAAAATATAAGAATATGTATAAAAAAACATTAAGTACTAAGCTGTTACAATAATTCTGTATTATAGATTTGCATTTTCATAAAATTTTTGATATTTAAAATAAGTTATTAAAAGCCCAAATAACATTATCATTGTAAGAAATGAAAAATAAATTTTATATTCTTATAGTTTCAAAACACAGCCAATACCTTTATTAAATGTCTTTGTTGGCCATAAGATCTCCTTTCCTCCATATATTAAGTTGCAATCAATATCTAATTATGTGAAGGTAGATTCATGGAGAAGTGAACTTTGAATAAAGGTAGAGAGAGTGTTTTGTTTTTAATCATACTGTAACTTGAGTACAACTTCTATGATTATAGTTTATGCATAATAATTGATGATAGTTTTATCCAAAATAGCTAAGTGTGGTCTTGAATAATTTAAGACTGGAGAGCTATGAATTTTAGTATTTAAATTTTGGTAATAATAATGTCATTATATTTTGATGCAATTCATATTAAATACAAGTTTAAGTATTTATTATAATTTTATAAAAATATTAAATCAAATATATAGCCATTATATCTATAGGTTTAATATTAAATCTGAACCATTGATAAGAATATGTCTAAGAATATGTCTAAGAATAAATACACTCATGTCCAAACACAAATGTGATTTTTTATTTATAGAGATTAGAAACTGTGATGATAATAAATATTGATGTGGTATATTTTTGTAACCACTTATTAAAGAAAAAAGCAAAAACATTACACTTACCAGTATTTTTTGGTGTGATACTTTCTTGTCTATGAATGTTGAAAATCATAATTAATTCTCCAAGTTATGTGGATTATAGTTTCTAAAAAATAAGTTGAAAGTAATTTTGACAAACATGAAAGTAAATTTCAAAAGCATAAATACAATCATAGCATAGAAGAGTAGAAGTTTAGAATTGAACATAATTATATTGAATGTTTTTAGTTTTAGTGGCTAATCACCTAATTTCTATTTTTAATAGATTTAAAAACTAGTAATTATCAATTTATAGGAACAATCATTTATAATGATTGTTGGGTACATATAATTGTTGGGTTGGTTATATGATTCGTTACACAACCACTCTATAATTCATATATGGATGCCTCACTATCATACTATGCAAAAAGATTATACATCTCTTACTTTATTTCCAAAAAATATATATTGAAAGTAATAAACTTTACAATGGCAAAATAAACAAATGGGGCCCCTCAATCTATGGTGATTGTTTCCACCTTCTCCTCTGATGGACACGTTGATCGTGCCGGATTTGCAACACCACTTTGCGGGGCTGGACGGGTCAGCCCAGATTCCAGTGTTTTGGTTTGCTTCAGCACCATCAGCGATAGCGTATGCTCGCTCTCCGACAATCTGTGCAAGACAATGCAGCAGTGGAGCATCAATCTCCTCATCCTAGTGCTGTTTAGTAGTTTGGGATGCTCAATCCCCGGCTCAGTGAGGCCCAGAAATTCCAACTCTCCTGGGTGCTCGAGCAGCTCTTCCTCCAGCATTGCCTGGACGAGAGGCTGGAGTGCCCGGATCGCGGTTCCCGGATCTTCGTCAACTATCTCGTCGAGGTTCTCAAGCTAGCGACGACAGCGGTGGTTGGAGAGGGAGGAGATTTGGAGTCAGAGTCACAGTAGCAGCAGCACCACCAGTGAGAAGATCTCAAGGTCACCAGATTTCTCCTTTAATATTTATTTTGCCTCTTTATGTAAAGAGTTTAAGCTTCTTAATCTTCATAATTAATCATCTTGACTAGCTACATGGCACTCTTCCATGATGCTACTTGGATATCTAAATCCTCCATAACAAGTGGAAGATATATTATATTTTACTATTGTATTTTAAATTTTTTACATGCTAGGTCTTAGTCTAACAATAGTCACCACTGTGCATATTCAACGCTCACAAGTAAAACAATTTTTATTTCAAGCTCAAAAAATATATGGGGTGTCACCGACAAATACGCATGTATGTAATAATTGATTCAAATAAATTTTTAAATATATGCATGAATATATTTGGGATATTTTAAACAAATAAAAATGCAAACAATCACGGTTTGTGTCACTGTTCGTGTATACAGGAGCTAAAAATCTTTGTTTGACAATGTTTGCCTTTCCTAGTCCTCTCTCTCTCTCTCTGCAAGTTGGTAAAGTTGGATTGGATCCTACCTAGTGTGTGTCAAGATAGTCGATACACGTCCATGGGTGTGACGACGCTCCTCGTCTCCGGACTGATTGGAACTTGCGGCTTCGCTAACCATTTGTACAGCGCCGTGCCCCTGTAAAGAAACGCATGATCGTCGCCACCGCTTCTAGAGCTGCTGCTCTGGATCACCGCCACCACGTCGAGGCTCACCTTGCCACTGGATTGGAGCAGCAATGGCTCCAGAGTGATGGAGCAAACCGGCGACGCCATCAATCTCCGCTGCTCCTGGGCGATGGCCGACCCTACAAGATCTTCGTCCCTGTCCCTCGTGAGAGCGACGAGCACCGCCCTTCTCACCGACGCTGGCATCGCCGCTACGTACATGTGATCGATCCCAAACTCCTGGCAGAGAATTCTCGCGGCCTTGAGATCTTCTCGCTGCTGCTGCTGCTGTGACTCCGACTCCAAATCTCCTCCCTCCCCAGCCACTGCTGCCGTTGATCTGGAAGCTAGACCCTTGAGAACCTCGACGAGATACGTGACGAGGATCCGGGAGCCGCGATCCGGGCACGCCAGCGCGATCAATCCCTTCATCAGCCTCTCGTCCAGCCAGTGCTGGAGGAAGAGCTGCTCGAGCGCCCGGGTGATGGCGGACAAGAGCTGGAATTGCTGGGCCTCGCTGAGCCGGGGATTGAGCATCACCATCCCGCTAAACAGCACCTGGACGAGCAGATTGATGCTCCACTGCCGCATTGTCTTGCACAGATTGTCGGAGAGAGAGCGCACGCTATCGCTGATGGTGCTGAAGCAAAGCTTCCCCAGCCAAAACACTGGAATCTGGGCTGACCCGTCCAGCACCGCAAAGTGGTGTTGCAAATCCACGCCCACCAGCGGTGCGATCACTGTGTCGATTGAGGAAAAGGCGACATTCCAGCACGCCCTGTAGTGTGAGTGTGATCCGGCATCCATATCCACTCAAGAGAAAAGGAATATAAAAAGAGAGAGATAACCTAACCACCTATGGCCCCCTGGCGATTGCAACCATTTCTTCCCGGTGGCGATCCCATTGGCAGCGATTTCCCAGCGGCGCCGCGCTCATCGCCTCCGCTCCTCCTCCTCCACGCCGCCGCCGCGCCGCCACCTCTCCATTCCAATGTGACCCCTTCGCTAGCCCTAGTCATTTGGATGAGAACAGAACCACGTGGCGCCGCCGCATTGGCCTGCGGCGTCAACACAACGCGTCCACTTTCCATTGGCCCGCCATAGATCAAATTTCTGCCTAGTGGCGGGAGCGCGCATCCAACGGCGGAGATTCAACTGGGCCCCGATTGGCGCGCGAAACAGTTGACGGCGGGGATTGGATTAATGCCACAGATCCAACCGCTGTCGTTTGCCCTTCTTGTTCTTTGTTTGTCCTTCGTCCTCCTCTCGCCCTCTCTTTCGCCGCGCGCAACCTCAAGATAGAATTCCCAGGCCCTTCATCGTTTTCGTCAGCTCCTCCAGATTCAATGGCTTGGTCAGGTACGCGTCCATTCCAACCCCTTTGCACTTTTGCTCGTCGCTGGCCATGGCGTGCGCCGTGAGGGCAATTATGGGAACTCGACAAGCGCTACCACTGTTTTCGCTGGCTTTGCTGCTCAATCCACCCTCCAATTCGCGTATGCGAGCCGTCGCGGCATAGCCATCCATGACAGGCATCTGCAAATCCACCAGTAGATCAGAGAAAAAAATCGCGACAAAGAGATGGATAGATAGATTCCACCGCAATCCAGTCCAGGAGCAAACAAACTGAGAAAAACAGAGGATTTTTTCCATACCTGACAATCCATGAGAACTAGATCCATTCTCCGCTTTTGCTGCACTGGATCGGGACTGCATGGATCATCTGCCAAGCTCGCAGCGATGGAGCTGACAGCCTCCTCGCCATTGGCAGCGAGCTCCACGATCGCTCCCTCTCGCTCCAGCATCGCTTTGGTCACCTTTTGGAGCAGCACCGTGTCCTCCACCACCAGGATTCGCAGCTCCGCCAAGCTCCCACTTCTCCCCTTCCCAGCGTCACCATCCTCGCTCTCATCCACATCGCCGCCACTCCGCCGCCGCTCCTCCGCCAGCCCACGCTGTTGCTGGTGCTGATCCAGCGACAGCCTGGAGAGCTCCTGCGCCGATCCACTCCGGCTCCGCGAAGAAAAGGAGGATCTTTTCTCGCAGCTCGGCCTCTTGGCGTTGCTCCACCGCTGCTGCTCCGCCACCAAGTGCTCAAAGTGCTGCCCCTGGAGCTCCTCCACCAGCGCCGCCAGCCGCGAGCTATGGACGGGCTTGTGGACGATGAGATCGCTCCGGCTGTGGAGCGTCTGCCACACGAGATTGGTCGTGTCGGCCGAGAAGATCCAGCTTATGTGCACGCACTTGCCACTCCCTCGCGAGCTCCGGACGAGCTCGTCCAGCTCCATCCGGAACTTGGTGGTGATGGAGGCATTCCCTTCTGGGAAGAGCGCCGTATCCAGCATCGCCAGGCACACCACGCTCCTCCCTCGCGGCGAAGGCGATGATCTCGCGTTGCTCTCGGTGGTGATATCCAGTGACGAGTCCGCGGAGCAAACGCTCGTTCGATCCGCGAGAGCTCGCTCCAGGCTCGGGATGATGCTCTGCCACTGCGAGACCTCGCAGACCTGTGCTGCTCCTTTGTTTTGCATCCACAGGGATACAAACTTCCGGCCAAGCTCGCCCGCCATCGCCAAAACCACCTGGAGGTTCTGTCCCTCGAGTCCGTCAACCCGGGCAGCGTTTTCCAAGAGCTGGCTCTCTTCTCCGAAAGATTGCTGGTGCGAGCCGTTGCGACGCAAGCCCGAGTGTGTAGTCTGGATATCCCTGCTCGACGCCTTCTGGAAGAGGAGATTAAACTTGAAGAGCGTTCCTGGGCCGTCTTTGTTGGCGACTTTGATCTGGCCTCCCATCATATGCACCTGGGAAGAAAGAAAAACGAGATTTTTATGCGAGGATCGATCGAAGAACTTGATGTTGGCTTACCAGGGAGCGAACGATCGCTAGGCCCAGCCCGGTTCCTCCATACGTGCAGTGGACTTTGGAGCTCCCCTGGACAAAGTTTCGAAACACTGCCTCGCGTCGCGACTGCGGGATTCCTTGTCCGGTGTCGTCCACTTCGAACTCGAACTCGAGAGTGTCACTGCTGCTGCCCTGTGATCGAGCCGGGATCTGCGAGGACCTGTTGCTACTGCTGCTGCTAGTCCTCAAGCAGCTGACGAAAGTTTTCTGGAACCAGCGGCCGGACCGCCGGCTCGCGCTCGCCACCCAGCTCTGCGAGGAGGATTGCTTGGGAAAAGCTCGGAGAATCACGTAGCCGCGGCTCGTGAACTTGACACCGTTGCTGAGGAGATCGCACAGGAGCTGCTTCACTCGTCCAGCGTCGCCTCGCACCCACCGCACTAGCTCGATGCTGTCGTCCGGCAGCTCCAGCACCACTTCGATGCCTTTCTTGGCCCCTACCACCGCGAAGATGTCCACTGCCTCCTCCAAGACTTTGATGAGGTCGAAGTCCGCCACCTCCAGCTCCAGCTTGCCAACCTCGGCCTTGCTCATGTCTAGAATCGAGTTTAGAATCCCTGCGAGAAGAATAAAACGATTTTTCTCGTCATCCAAGCTTGAGAAGGAGATGATCTCTCACCTAGAAGAGTTGTAGCGCAAGTTTTCATTTGTAGCATGTTGGACTCGAGCTCCACCGAGAGGCGCTCCTTGTGAGACAGGCACAGATCGATCAAGCCGATGATGGCAGCGAGAGGAGTCCGGAGGTCGTGGCTCATGTTGGCGAAGAAGAGCTTCTTGTGGTTGCTCCGTTTCTCGGCGAGCTTGGTGGCTTTCACCTGTGCGATGTAGGATTGCTCCACTCTCATGGAGATGCTCACTCCCTTTGTGAGCATCACCACGAGGCAGCACCCCATCAGCACCGTCGCGAGAGCAATGCCGAGGAAAATCATCCCCAGAGTGTGCAGCCGAGCGTCCAGTCCAATCTCCAAGCTCCTCACCGAGATGATCAACACGGCAACCTTTCAGCTCACGTAGAGTTAGCGAAGAAAAAAGAGAGAAAAGAACGCAAACAACGTAGAACTTTGAGAAAAGAGAAAGAGAAAAGCGCAATCAGCGAAGAACTTCGTCAAGAAAGGAGAAGAAAAACGATGGCTTACCAGATTTTGTCCAATGCTTGACAATGGCACCGTATTCACGTGATAGTGAACGCCATCCACCAAAACGTTCTCAAAGTGCCGAGGAGACGAAGCCAAGCTCGAGTTTACTCGATCCAAAAACGAAGATATCCTCGCCACCAGCGCGTCGCTCGAGTCCCTGGCGAGTGGAATCGTAAAGTTGGCTCGATCCACGTCCCCGACTGCGTAGCTCGATCCATATATCCCGACCAAGCGGCCATCGTCCGTCATGAGGAACATATGCTGCTGGAAAGCATCCACTTGACGCATCATGTTCTCGAAAGATCTCGTCACAAAAGCCACGCCGCTGGTTCTCGAGCTCGATCTCACGGCTTGCATTCCCAAGAGTGACAAACTCCCGGACGAGTCGGCCGTGATGTCCCAGAAGATCTTTCCACTCGTGTCGTTGAGAGCTGCCTGGTAGAGAGACGAGCGAGCGGTGTAGAACAGGCATGGCGATGGCGTCTGCGCTTGCTCGACCTTCCCCGTGACCGGATGAACTAGTTGGCGAAACCATCGAAAGGAGTCCCGCGAGACACACGACTTTCGGTGCGTGGAGTTCGAGTTTCCAGTGGACGAGAAGAAGTAGGCGTCGTCGCTCCTGCTGGAGTTCGAGTCGGCAAAGGCCATGAAAGAGAGATCCCGAGTGAAGAATCCGGCAGCGCTGCTGCCCGGCCTCATGAAGTAGCCAGTCCACAGCAAGCTCTTGAGCTGGAACGAGAGAAAGTTAGCAGGAAATCCATAGAACTCGCGATAGAACTCGTGAGCTTTCTTTCACTCGTACCTGAGGAGGGGAGGATGTCAAGCTCGCGTTGGACGCCGAGAGGAGGCGACAAAGAAGCGACACCGAAGTGGAAGTGTAGTTTAGAGCGAAATCCAGCGGCTTCTCGATGTCAAACGCAGCCTCGGTTCGCAAAGAAGCAACGAGAGGAGCGATGGATCGTCGAATCTGGCTCGAGGCAACGTACCACGCGCTCACGGTGAGTATAGTCACGAGCAACACCAGCATCACCTGGAAGAACACGAAGAACACGATTAGCTCTCTTCGATTCTTCCGTGTTTCGCGGGAACACGCCAAGAATCGCTACGAAACAAAGAGGACGACGAAAAGATAAAGACAAGAGAAAGTTGGCGTACCATGAGGGCGATGCGAGGGAAGAGCATGGGATCGCTCGCTACTTGCTGCCAATGCGATCGCTTCATCGCCCACTCGCGCAAGATCTCCAGAGAAAATCTTCTCAAAGGTGGCGGCGGCGGCGGTGGCGGCGGTGGCGGCCGGGGCGGCGATGGCGCTTCTTCGTTTCCATTTCCCTGGTTCTCTCGCGCGGCGCCGCTCTCCAGCCCATTCAAATCTGCCGAAAGATTCCCAGAGAAGTGGCTGGAGATCGTCGCGTTGATCGTGGAGAGGCGGGGACTATCCGGCGTGGAATCACTCTCGTAGAACTGGTGGCTGGAGCTGCTAATGCGAAGAACACCCATGGGATCGCCTCTCATGCCCAGCGAGCTACATTCCAAGCAGCGGGAGGCCATGGATTGGCACAAGCGTCCCCAGTAAGCATCCTCTTCTCCTCCCGCCGCCGGCTCGCCCATGGATCGATCGATCTCTCTTTCTCACAGCCGCCGCGGACCCATCATCTCCTTCCTCGATTCCTGCCTACCCACGATCGATCTAGCACCGATCCCCGCTGGGAATCCACCGCCCACCATCTCTCTTTCTCTCTTCTTCTTTGTTCTTCCTCGATCCCGCCCAAGAACGATATACTACCGATACCTCATGATCGGGGCGGCGTCGCCATCGCCATGAGGATCGCAGCTGTGCCCTCATCCGACAATCGATGGATGCGGCAGTGTTTATGGGATTTTCTTCCGAGAAATCCTGCCCAGATTCGATCTCTCTCTGATAATGCCATCGCCGTTTGAATCAAATGTTGTGCGTGAGCGATCGATCGATAGCTCGATCGATCACGCATACCACACTGCCGTGACAAATCCTCCTCTAGCCTTGCCTACTCTCTTTCTCACCCTCTTCCTTTCTCTTGCGCTTCTTCCGATTAACACGGATCAAGGCAGCAATCACAGCGCTCCACGATTGCTTCTTCCATGATCGCGGCTATGGTGTTGGGTGAATTCAATGGGTTGGTTTCCAGGAGATTTGATTTGGAATATGGCAAATTCAAAAAAAAAGGAAGAGAAACTCCCCACATTTAATGCCACACCACCATAGCCGAGCTTCTTCCAAGCAGCAGCCATAGCTCGTAAGTTCCGTTATAGTTCTTTTTTCGCGTTTCTTTTCTCCGCGCTCGATCAAGACTGTTTCAAGCTGCGCATTTATGAGATCCAAAGCGAGCGAATGAATCCTGGGAACGAAGTTACAGATGAGAACGACGATAGGAAAAGGAAAAAAAATGAGAGCTTGGAACATTACCAGCCATAGCTGCGTCGGTCAAGCTTAAACAAGCAATCGTGTCCCGTATCCGATCAGGATCTCTGAAAACGCTGCTGGTTTCATTTTTAATGCCGCGCCGCGCCTTCCAATTCAGATTCTTTCGGGCGATTCTTGCGGATGTTTTCTTGCTTCCCTCCCTGCATGGTTTTATTTCTATAATAGTTTGTGAGTCCCAGAGCACACGAGAGATCATACTCATAAAAAAAACTTACCTTTGTCCGAACATCGCGAGCTTCCAGCGATTATAAAAACATGCTTCGAATTGTTATTTGCGAGATCAAAGTAAGTCAAGCTGCTTCGCGGAGGTCAAATCTTCGAGACAAAGAGAAACTTACTCGCTTTAAACACTTCGTGGCTCTTTTAAACCTCTGCATCTCTCTGCAACATCCGGAGAAACATGTGAGCACACAGTCCACACAGAATCATCAGAGACATATCCTAGAGCTCCGTTCTAGCAACGAATACCTTCTTTTTTTCATACCTTTCAGCCAGTGTATGCGTGAAGCCGGCTATGGTGCTTCACAGTCTTCTCCTTGCCTTCATTCTCGCCGGCTTGTCATCGGCAACACGCAAAGACACCATCACTGTTACTGGAGTGGTCTTTTGCAAGAGATGTGTTCATGGCACTGCGGTTGGAACTCCATTACCAGGTAAGCGAAGCAAACACTTTCACTGTTTCTTTTCTCTATCTGCAAAGAGACTCTGCATGAGTAAGAAAGTCGCAAAAGAGAGAAGTACTTACATTCCAGTCGTAGAAAGTAGAAAGTTATGGCTTTGTCTCGTGGAATCCAGTTTTCCTCCAAAGTCTCCTGCTTAACTGATTTTCCTCTTCTTTTTCTTCTTTCTGCAACTTAGTGTCAGTAAAAGGTCCAACTTTGCGTGCTGAGTAAAGCCATACCTTGATCTGCTAACAGGTGTGGAAGTCTCACTCCAGTACACTGGAGATCCAGCGATTCTCGCATTGACAGACAGCAACGGAGTTTTCAAGCTGCCTGTGAAGAGCGCGTTCTTCGCAGATCCTGGTGGAAATGGCCGACAGCTCTTTGTCAAGATCGTCAGGCTCCCGGACTCCACTTGCCAGATACCAACGACCACCGAGAAAAACGCTGGGATCTTGTCCAAAGCAGCACGAAGAACAGGCATCTTCACGGTGGGAGCTTTTACTTTTCGGCAACAGAAGGCCCTGTGCTCGGAGCTGCCTCCATCGTTTTCCAACACCTCCATCATACCGCCACTTCCGCCAGCAATCTTCCCGTTTCCTCACCCTGGCTATGGCGGCGCTCCGCCGATTGGAAGCTCGCCTTTCCTCCCATTCTCTCCACCACCATACGAAGAACTCCCACCACCGCCAAACGCCGAGCCGCCGGAGATCGTCATTCCACCGCAACCAACATCTCCGCCACCACCGCATTCTCTTCCGCCGGCCCCTGTTCGTAGAAACAACGGGCCGCCGCCACCGCTACACGCTCTTCGTCCTCCTCTTCCACCGCCAGCCCCGCGGATGAAATCCCCTCACCCCTCACCGCCAGCTCCATATGTCCGAGACAAATCACCGCCACCGCTTCCAAAGCCGCCAGCTCGAAGCAAATCGCCACCCCGTCCAAAGCTCTCACCGCCGCCGCCAGCTCGAAACAAATCGCCACCACCGCTTCCAAAGCTCACACCTCCCCCTCCTCGAAACAAATCGCCACCGCCGCTTCCAAAGCTCTCTCCTCCGCTAGGACCACCAAAGCACGCTCCGCCTTCCAGGGCTCCCAGTCCTGGAAGAAAACCACTGCCATCGCCATCGCCATCGCCGACGCCGCCGCCATTTCCATCACCATCGCCGTCGCCACCGCGTAAAGAGAGCCCTAGAGCGCCATACCTTCCATCACCACCGGATTGCCAGCAAAAACCCTAATACCCGGGAAAGGGAAATTTTCAAATGATACTAACTTTCTAGCGATCTAGCATTTGGGTCTTCATGCAAGGATTCTTCTGGGATTTCATGCCCATAGTCAGTCAAAAGGGTCACGACAGAGAAGTATTTTTGCAAGGATTCTTCACGATGATCTTATACCATTGTTCTAGTCAGATTGTCTTCGAAAGAACCAAGGTAATTTTAATGTCATAGTCCAGCACAGTCAAACAGTCCAACACGAGGAAGCATGAAGTATTCCTCTGATTTCGGGCAACAAGGCCGACTCCGTGCCCGACAATACACTTACCATCAGGAACTAGCGCTCGTCTAACCCCCGTCAGGTATCCATCAGGGCAGCGGCCGAAGTTCTCCACGATGAAAACCTCGTCCCCAAAGCTCGTCATCACGCTCTGGTTCTTGCTCACGTATGGGACCCTGTGGACGAGATACTTAGGCCTCAAAAGCTGAGTTGCACGTAAGCGAGCATAGTTCCAGCCTCCAGCCCGGCAGCTTGTCCAGATAATCCAGCTTGGTGACAAGCATCCAGCATCCGCCAGATCCACACTCCCAGCGGCTGCACACTGTCGGGACTGGCAGCAGCGGTATCCTTAATGTTAGTTAAGGGTATCTTTCTTTTTTACGCAAATTAATCAAGGCTCATTTATTATATATAGAGAGCTTGCAAACACTGCTTAGTGTGAAAAGTATCTAAATACCAACTAAACTTTTATCTCTTATTGAAAAAAAAAGAGATAAAGCTTGATATCATACTTTAAATAGCATTTTCTATTAATTAAAATAAATCTTTTGAAATTAAGATTTTATTTGTTTTTAGCAAAACACTTAATATATATTTGATATAGTTCTATATAAAAAAAGTGAACATTTGACCTAATTTGGCAAAAATAATTGTAACTCCTCTAGAAAGTAAATTTCACTAATGTTTGAATAAAAAACTTATTAGGAACATGAGAAAAGATCAAAAAAATAAAAGGAGTTTGAGAAAGAGCCTTAACATTAGTTATAGAACTTCTGAGCTATAAATAACTTTAAAGTTATATATTTTAAGTTTCAGAATTTATCCAACAGTATAACTAATTAAGTTCTTCCAATTTAATATAATGATTACAATATAATCACCCTTTAGTAAAGTCTAATAACCATGCAAGTATGCATGAAACTTCTCAAAACCCTAAACCACTGCTATGCACTCTTTATTTATCATATTAGTTATAATGTATAATTGATGTATATAATAACATCAATACACCTTTAGAACTAATATTAGAAGAATCCACATGCAAGATGAAAAGTTAAGTATAGTGCCAAAATTAGAAAAGTTGTTAATACTTTTTTGAGATCCACAAATGCCCATTCACCATCCTCAAACTAAATGAACAATGATATTGACGACATCAATAATGCTTACAATGATAAAGTGTTGTATATTATTCATACACTTTAAAACAAAAAACTTTAAAATAGCTATAAGTTTTTCATGATAAACTTGCAACAAATAAATGTAGTACTCAAGATAAATTGTGTCCTTAGGTTTAAACACATACTTTAATCACTTCAACCCAAACTAACTTCTCGCAGTTGATCTAACATTTTGTAAGTATTATGAATATACTCCTCTCACATCCCCTCCAAGTGGATCAAAACATTATATAATCATATTTAGCATATAATAAAGAATCTCATCCATCATCCACTAGAAAGTTATCAAAGCATTATTTAAACTGAATATCACTAAAAACTCATACAAACTAAATAATGTATGAAAAATAGTTTTTAGAACGTCCTCTTTAGCCATCGACACTTGTTACTACCTAAAAGTAAAATTTAACTTGGTGAATTAATGACTTCTCCTCAGATGATCAAGAAAATTAATAGTGTGAAGAAAAAAATACATATTCAGGATAGTCACTTCATTTAATAGATAATAGTCAATGTAAAATTGAATATTACTATTAGTCTTCATCACAAAATAAGGTTCACAATCCTAAGAGTTTTAAAACTTTTAGATAACACTTTTCTCCAATATCTCTTTAATATTTGCATAAAAAATTTTAATCTTCTTTGATGACTAACACCAAATAAGAGATAAACATCCTCAGTTAAAATAGGATGATGCATTGCAATCTTAGCTCTAAATGACAAGTCAAAGTCGAAGAGAGTAACATAGTAAGTTAACCATTGCAATGCAAAAACTATTTAGAGGAATGAATTAAAACACAAATGAGAGGAATGAAAGAAAAATGAAAAAAATATAAAATAAGGGGAAGAAATTTCAAAGCTATATTTGTCATGATTGTGATGCAACCAATCCATATTAAAGATGAGGTCAAAAACTTAACTTAACACTACTTGAAGCTCAAACTCAAGATCATTTATATGTATAATTAAGTGCACCTCATCCCACATGTACACATGAGAATTTTGATAGCCATCAAATTAGTTTCAATCCAAATCATTTTCTCCTTTATATAAACATTTCTTAACCTTATTCAGATTCACAATTTAGTGATAATTTATTTAGAATTAAATATTCAAATGTATAACTTGATGAAGTTTATGAAGCTCAAAATGTTAAATTATGGATTTAAAAGCTTTTGATGGGTTTGAGAATCTTGTTGATGACTTGCTGATTTTGTATTTACATTTTTAATATTACCTTAAAGATAACTTTCTTTACTTTGTAAAGGCTCATTATGGTGATCATATATGGCTGGTGGTGCCTTTAGTCTTTATTCCATATGACTCTCCTATTCTAGGCAAGCATATAAGACATCATTGTATAACTAAAAAGCTATTGTAAAGTATATGAACTTTTAACATTCAAATTAAGATGATTATTTATCATTTCTATAGTATATATATATATATATATATATTACAAGGATATAAAGTTTATTAGTGCTTCAATATATTAATGCTTATATGATCATGATTCAATACTAGTAATGGATTTAAGTTTACTTTTGTGATTGCCACAAGCTACTGATACTAGGTTCTAGGATTATTATTTGAGCAGCCTACTGAACAGTTAGGCTGTATACAAATGGGGCAATAATAGCATTATAACTCTTATCATTACCCACTTATAGAATATGAAGTGGATGATGTAATATTAGTTTGTTTTCCAATTTTATAGTGTGTGGTTTATTAATGGGCTCTTTGCCCAATGAAAAGAATTGTATCAAGTGTTGAATTGCAGATTTATAAAGCAAGTTGGACTAAAAGCTTATAAAGTTCAGCACGATATTTAACATGCCAATCCTCTATATATTGTGCATATGGAGCAGATAAAACACTTTATATAAAGGGAATAAAAAGAAATGACATTATTTATAAATCTATTAGTGCCTCCTCTTGATATTCCTCTAGATCTTGGCCAATCAACTAGAAAACTCTAACTACTTTCAATCCATATGAGAAAAAGATATAATTATAATGCTATATACTATTATTAGAATAGTTGTATAGTGTAAATATAGATGGTAATATGTAGCAATAGGTTTAGTAATAGAAAATAAATTTAAATCCATCTTAACTAACATGGAAAGGGACCTTTTGTTATAAAAACAAGCTTAGAAAGTAAACACTAGATGATCTAGTGGCAACTAAACCCTTTTAATGGTATTCCCAAAAGAAGGATGAAGGGGTCATTAACTAATTCATGCAA